GTGAAAGAGTTTGCCAACCCTGGAGTTATATCAGACTATGAGGAATTTCTCACTGGCTAGTCCCCCTTTAGGCCTTGACTTTCTACCCTTTTCCCAGGACTCTCTCTCACTGAATATTCATCCCTTTTGTTAAATCTTTACTGCATTCTCAGGATACCTCATTTCAACTCTTGGGCTTCTTGAAAATTCAAAACTCCATTTTTCTTTATCATACAGAGTAATTCATTTGGCCCTTGCTTACACTGGCTATGCCCAGGAATCCTAAAATTTCCTGTCCATGGGTGTTCAGAATATTTTCAGAAACAATAGTGCCATAGGCCCTAGAAAGGAATTAGGCCATTCCTGTAGAAAGCAGAAGCTAAAATACCACATTTGTAACTAAATTTCCTTTCTTCTTGTCCTACCTCCTCTTCATATCATTGTGCATTAACCTAAACCTGGCAGGTTACATATCTACACACATGTCAGAAATCCTAAATTCAGCAGATGACAGTGGAAGGGGCCACAGGAAAATGTAAGGGGGTGAGAAAGGCATTCTATAGTTAACCAAGACATAAGTACAGGCAATTCAAATTTTTGAATAAACAAAAAAACACAGGTTATGCCCTATTTTTTTCTATAATAGAAAGGAACTTGCAATGACCTCTGTTTGTCCTCTGGCTTCCTAGTCACTTTGCTTATGTCTTATAGCTTATTTTTCATTACTGTTTATGAAGTAAATGAAATCTACATTGCTTTTCTTAAAAATTCAGTATTGATATTTTACTTCTTGAAGCTTTAATGGTCACCTGGTCTGATACTTCCCAAATGGGCACACACATATGCCTGAGGATGCGCTGTTAGTATATTGAGGGTCTATGGAAGTCCTGAGATGAAAATGACACGGCTTCCAAGGACGATGTCTCTTTATAATGTTATTCCAGTAGCTCGAAGGGAAAATAGGATTATTTCTAAATTATCACAAATACATAGGAAAGGGAGCAAGACAAATAATGCAGTAGATTTTAAGATAAAACAAGGCAGAATATTGTGCTTTCAGGGATGCTTTAAGTTATGCCTCCAAGGTTCTCGGGTGAGGCACTCATTTCCCTTTACTATTGGGGTGCTATAAGGAAAAAGTTGTCCCAGACTGATTCAAGGCCAGCTGTGCAGCCACCAATTATGAACAGAAAAAACAACAGCAGACTGTGATGGCAATGATCATTTCTACAAGAGTTCCTGTTTAAGATATTCCACAACAGTGCTTAAAATATCATTCAATTTAGCCTCATTCTTGCCAGGTTACACTTCGCCACCTCTCTTCCTATTTAAGTTCCATTAACCCAGCTCAGAATTCACTCGCCCAAGAAGTCTTCTGAACAACTGCTATCCAAAATGATGCTTCTCTTTGGAACTCACAGCATTTCCTGACTATGCCATTTAAAAAATAAACTATTTTCTTTTAAGAGTAATATGTGCTCGGGGCCGGCCCGGTGGCACACTGCTACAGCGCGCCGCTTGGGAGCGTGGCGGCGCTCCCTCCGAGGGTTCGGATCCCACATACAGACCGGCCGTTCACTGGCTGAGCGAGGTGCGGGAGCA